CACACACACACACACACACACACACACATGTAAATATTTTTAAAATATGTATGTGTGTGTATTTAAATATACATAATAAATATACACAGACCAAACACATTATGTAAACAAAAACTTTTATTTTGGATGCGATTAATTGTTTGACAGCACTAATTTGAATAATCATCATTGAAGATTGAATGTCTGGGTCAATGTTATTTTAGAATCATTTATAATTAATAAGTTAATTATAAATTAATAAATTAGTACATTAATAATTCTAAAATAGTAGTATTATTTGTATATTAATAACAAAAGCAGTAGTAGTATTTATAGATTAAAAAAGAAACACCATAATACATATTATTTATAATTTTAGCTTTTATTTTTATATTTCAGATTATTTAATATTAGTTTAGTTCATTTTAAGTTAAGTTTAGGTTTTAGTAACTTTATGTCCTTTATATTTCTATATAGCACTATAAAAGTATTTTTATTTCAGTTTTAGTAATTCTAGTACTTCAACAAACTTATTTCATTTAGTTGCCAAGGCAACACTTTTTTTTTTTTTTTCTCTCTTGTAAACTTTATATCTAACTTTATTTCAGCTTTGTTTCAATTACCGAAAATGCCTTTCAATGGTTTTTGTTAACAATAACACCAGTCTGGGTCAAGGGTAAAACAACTGAAACTTTGCATAAAAGGCATTTGTAAAGAAGGAAGAGGAAGACTGGGCTGTGGTTATGTGTGGATGTGTTATAATTAGTGTCAAGTGTGAACTATTCTGCCCATTTTCTCTGTACACCATCACTATAAGCCGTTCTCCGCAAACCAGACGTACTTTGTCCGACATGCTCTCCTCAAACTTGTGGTTGAACAGACATTTGTAGACCTTTCCTTCTCCTGCTGGAGTCTGAAACAAACGAACAGAGCACACCATTAGCAACAGAAGTGCACAGTGAGCGTGTATTAGAGGATCACGGCTTACGTTTTCGCAGAGGCGTTCGCGGTCTTCCCGACAGGCGAAGTAGAGATGGCGGTCGAGGTGGAAGTCGTCGGAGGAGAGTTCGGCCACGCGCATGATTGACTTCTTACAGTCCTCATTGATGGTGATGGCTGGCTGCTCCTCGGCTTCACTCACCAGGCCTTTCTCCAGACACGCGATCACCTCGCCCTGAGAGTGGATGTCCTGTAGAGAACGGCCATGTGCGCTCAGGACAGAGAACAGGGCACGAAGTACTCTCATGGCAGTTTAACAAGCCGTCCTGGTCTCTAGAACTGCAGTTGTGAATCTCAGACCAGCTGATTGAAAGCTGAACCGGCTCAACTGAAGAACTAGCCAGCTGCCTTTGAATCAGTTGCCAGTTCCCATAACAACGGAGCACTGTCTGTCAGGATGACCAGAGCTACACGAACTTGGATCAAATGAACTTAATGGGAAAGTTCAGAGTCATTTTTTCCCCTTCACGCCGATACAAACCCGTAAGTCTTTTGCTCATCTTTTTTCTGGTAACCTTCATCCACCACTGGATACCTTCCTTGGGCCAAGTGCGTGGACCTTACATAAGCATATTACGGCTTACAAATAAAAATCATATAATTGGTAAATAATTTAATTATTTATCACAGTTGAAAGAAAACATTAAGCAAAATTTAATTAATCCTTAAAAAAACTAACTTTTTCAAAAAAAAAACTCTGAGAAACTAATGTGAAAAAAAAAAAAAAAAAAAAAAATCAGTTATTTTAAATGCTACAAAGTTAAATTAGTCATTGCAATACTGTAATGTACAGTATAAGAAATTGATATTCATTTTGAGATTCACAGTGTTATTAAATATCATATTTTAATTAGGCTAGATTGTAATACATTTAAACTTAACATGAGTGTTAAATAATGGCAAAGGTAATCTAAATTTTAAAATAAGTTAAATGAGCTTGCATAATTAAATATCCAGTATCGACCGATGAAAAAAATAAAAAATAAAAATAAAAATAAACTGTTTTATGAAACCATTTCAAGAACAAGAACAGAGTTGCACAGATGCTTAAAATGTCTAAAAAGCCTGTATTTGTTGCTTTAGTGTTCGCCTACAGTCCTGTATTTGACACTGATGTAGCACAAACTTGCAGAGCTGCTAGAAATACTGGCGCCGTTATCAGAGAGCATCAGAAAGTAAACAGTGGTTTAAACAAATAAGCGTTACATCCTTTTTCAAAGACTGTGGTCATACTGCTGCTTTCAGTTACCCACAGTGCACCTGGGCTTACCTTCTCTCCAGTGTTGACGCTTCCACAGTGCAGTTTGTTGATGTCGTCCTTGCACTTGTCCATGAAGCCGCAGATCAGCCGGTAATCGCTGAAGACGATGCTGGTCATCTTGGTGATGTACTGGTTACACTGGTACTCGGAGATGTTGGTGCGGTGATCTACTAAACACGACACCAGGTAACCCTTCCCACGTTCCTCAGCGGCACACTCCTTAATCTGAAAAATGATTGTAAATGGTTTAGTGACTTTGTGGTCAAGTTTGAGATAAAAGCTTGTTTTGCTTTGCCGCCTCCATGCATACTTACCCCACTGATGGTGGTCTTGCACACCTCAACGGCGACAGACTCGAACTTTGGATCAGTCGTCAGATTGAACTTATAGTTCCACAGCAGCTAAAAATAAAACAGGACATTTTATTTGCTACAATAACATAACTTAGGCTAATCTTACAGTGCTGAATGAATTTTAATCAACTAAACAACTTAAAAAATATATATATATATATCCTGAGCAATAACAGCACTAAAATAAAGTTTATATTTTTATTATTTTATATTTTATTATTTTAAATTATATAAAAAAAATTAACAACTCAGTCATTAGACTAACTGAAAAAAAAAAAATCTAAAATAAACCAAAAGATTAAATATTTCACATTATTTGAAAGTGACAATGTGTATATTTGTTAAATATAATAATAATAATAAAATAAAATCCAAACAAAACCCAAAACATTCATATGTATGGCTCAAGGATAGTTAAACTCATTTTTGGATTGAAATGTCAACAAAATAAACTCCTGCTGTAGTTTGGCTGGGTTTAACCATCAACTGTCATTCAGATCAACATCCGGGAACAGAAATAGTGTGTAAACACTTACATGATTGCAGTCTGCAGCCAGTTCAGTCTCCTGAAGAGAGATTAAGAGGAGTATAAATTATAAGTGTTCACACAGACAAAAGTAATAGGCAGGTTCAGAACTACATGATTTTCAAGACCGACTAGCCCTGTATAATTAGACTGGTTTCGGGTTCCCCAGGCCCCGATTTTTAAGGGGTGTTTAAAACATTTTCTTGTGTTCACAAACAGGTAGAACGAGCACAACAATATAACCGAACGCAGTGCCTCAAAGTGCTTTTTTAAAATGTTTAACTTGACAGAAATCCTTGTGGGACGCTCAAAAAATTGTGCGAGACACACTGCAATGACCAAAAAAATGTCTGTCTGAATGTGTACGGCTGTAACACTGCTGCTTTAAAGAGGATGAAAGACCAAAGAGCCAAGAAAAAGTTTTACAATGCAAACTAGGCTTAAGCTATGCTTAAAGAGATAGTTCACCCAAAAATGAAAATTAGCCCATGATTTACTCACCCTCACGCCATCCAAGGTGTATATGACTTTATTCTTTCAGATGAATCCAATCAGTTACATTAAAAAATATCCTGGCTCTTCCAAGCTTCATAATGGCAGTGAATGGGTGTTACTATTCAATAGTCCAAAAGAATAAAGTGCATCCATCCATCATAAAAAGTGCCTCACACGGCTCCGGGGGGTGAATAAAGGCTTCCTGAAGTGAATCGATGCGTTTTTGTAAGAAAAATATCCATATTTAAAACTTTATAAACCATAATCTCCGTAAGCGTAAGCGCAGCTGAGAGAGCAAAACAAAACACCGGTCACGAATTAGAAGTGCAAAACGAGGGTTTGTAAAGAAAAATGTCGGAGGATTTGGATATAAGCCAAGAGGAGACTGGTTTTCCTTTGCTAAAGTAAGGAAACTTTTGCTTCCTTTGCTCCTGTAAACAAATGTTGGTTTTCACAAGACTAGCATATTCTCACCGGAGCTAACGCTACGCCTACGTCATCCGTCGGAATGAACGCGCGTACGACAGTTAGCAGAAACTAGAGATTACCGTTTATAAAGTTTTAAATATGGGTATTTTGTTTTTTTTTACTAAAATTAATCTATTCACTTCAGGAGGCCTTTATTCACCCCCAGAGCCGTGTGGGGCACCTTTTATGATGGATGGATGCACTTTAATGGACTTCTATCGGACTATTGAATAATAACACCCATTCACTGCCATTATGAAGCTTGGAAGAGCCAAGACATTTTTCAATATAACTCCGATTGGATTTGTCTGAAAGAAGAAAGTCATATACACCTAGGACGGCTAGAGGGGGAGTAAATCATGAGGTAATTTTCTTTTTTGGGTGAACTATCCCTTTAAAAATGTCAACACTACAATAAGAAGAAAAAAAATCTAGACCATTCGCAGTTGTTGGGCAACTAGTTTCCTAGTAAGCAATGTGTAAAATACTGACTGTTGCTAATGTTTGTAGGCGTGTGTTATATTTACTTTTTGCCTTTCGAAATGTATTTCCGTTAATTTGTGACACCAGGGAGAGGGGAGGTGAAAATTAAGACTAGATGCAAACAGAAATCAGCTCAGACCTCGCTCTCTTCCTGCTGCACATCCTGTGTGGACTGCTAATATTTATTAAGAGTTTTAGATGATGTCTCTATCTGCTCATTAGCATGCTTGTCTAAACATTTGAGTAAGAAAATTCATAACAACAACAACCTGGTTAAACTTCAAGCTCCTTTTTTACACTTTAGATTACAAAGATTAAACAGAATGAAAAAAATATCAACATACATCCATGAATACATGCCAATAAAACTACATTTTTTAGCCTTTCAGTTTTTAGAAGTACGGAATTTCACATTATAAGCTGATGGACTGACATTATTTCACGCTGGGAGGATGTTTGTTCACACTCTCCAGGAGAATCAAATGTGTGCGGAGTAAATACTCTGAGACAAAGCACATTGTTTAAAGGGATAGTTCACCCAAAAATGAAAATTCTGTCATTAATTACTCGCCCTCATGTCGTTCCAAACCCATAAGACCTTCGTTCATCTTCGGAACACAAATTAAGATATTTTTGATGAAATCCGAGAGCTTTCTGACCCTCCATAGACAGCAATGCACCTGAAACGTTCCCAGAAAGGTTGTAAGGATATTGTTAAAATAGTCCATGTGACAATAGTTAAAATAGTCCAAGATGAACGAAGGTCTTAGGGGTTTGGAACGATATGAGGGTGAGTAATTACTGACAGAATTTTCATTTTTGCATGAACGATCCCTTTAAGACTAACATACCGAAACATGACCAACACGCTGGTAAATATGCATGTCAAATAGAGCTGTGCAATTAATCGAAATACAGTTTCGATATCGGCTTCCAACGATTATGGAAAAACAATAATCGAGATAAAACTGTTATTACGCCCCATTCTGCTCCCTTTCCAGCGGTGCGCTTTCACTCCTCCATAAAAGTCAGATTTCACGTGCAAATCAGTAAAATCATGTAACGTGACCTGCAAAATGGGACGTGCTTGATTTATCAATGTTTATTAGATTTATTCATGTTTATGAAAGCGCGAGAGAACTTGCGCTGTTCCTCAGGAGGATTTCTGTGCATGCGCTCAGAGATGGAACAGAACACAGAACGTTTAGTTAGGTGTGCGCCTAAACGGTCAAATAAACGCAAAAAATGTGTCAAAATGCGGCGCTTGGTGATAATTCACATAAACCCTCATCGGTTATGTAATAAGTGAACGTAAACCGTTAAGAATGAAAATACGTGCGTAACAGTAAACTGGATCCGTGCGGCTCTTAAAGTGACAGCAGGCTAATATTCCTGCTGCTGACTGTGTGCTTAATATTAATCAACAAAAGACAAAATCACACACTGCTCTTGACTGAAGGACTTTTGTAGCTTTAATAAGAAACAAAGGAAATGTAATTCTTACAGTGAAGACTATGCTGTTTTATTTTACATTCAATTATTACATTTCTGTAAAAGGCTGTTAAACTGAATAGCCTAGGCTATACTTTAGACTTGCATAAACTTAAAGCACTGTTTGCTTCATTTGTATCTTTATTGTTTTTTACTAATATTAGTTACCCTAGTATTCTGCAGCCCTATTGAGAATTTTGAAATTTCGCTGGTCTCTAAAATGTAGATAGATGTCATAGCAACCTTATTTAAAGAAAATTTCTATTTGATATAGGCTATATCATTATCTTTAAATAAATCACTCATATAACGTTTTGGTCATGTGGCCCACTCATAATCATTGTGATTACAATACTGACCACAATAATCGCGATTATGATTTTTGCCATAACTGAGCAGCCCTCATGTCAAATTAAACATATAGCTTTCATTTTGGTATAATTCACTTTAGGATACTCTCTTCTCTGTGCGATTCTTCAAACAGAAGGAACCAAAAGGTTAAGCTGTACAGCAATGTTTGGCATGACAAGAAGAACAAATATTTTGCAACAGTCTCGTGATAGCCGATTGAGCGTTTAAGTTTGACAAATGTGTGACATTCACTGCAATCACTTAAGTGACAAACAAAGCACCATCTGAATAAAAACGAAAGTATTTGACAAATGAGCACGCATGAGGAATTAGACAGAAGGTCAATATCTGAAGAAACTGAGAGAGTATGTCTTCAACATCGGATTTGGCAGCTTTAAAGAAAAATAGAGGCCTTTTAATTACATTTTATTCCTCCACTAATAAACTGCTCTTTGTGATGCGAAAACTTCAGCAGTCAAGAGCAATCAACATAACAGTAGGGTCTCCCTAACCGTGATGACTTGACACTGATCTTTATTTGAACAGCTGAGAACAAGCCCAGGCAGAAAGCATCCCCGGCATAGCACAGGACAGCTGTAAACGGCTCGCAGTAAATATCAAGCGTGTAATTCTTGGTTCCCATGGAGCTGAAGGCCTTGATAAGTGTCACAATGTTACTAAAAACGGCATCCAAATCCAATCAAAGACACAGCAAACTGTTTTGACCCCAGCCTGCGCTGAGAGCGTCGTATTAGCCTTTAATTGTTGTAACGGGGTTTATCAACTCTAAAAGGATTTAAAGCTACTGAAAAATATATAGCTTCTCTGTGCAATTATGCTGCATCTGTCTATAATATACACAATGCAAGTGAAAAGAATAAAATATTACTCTTAAAACTCTGTATGATCATAGAGACATTTTAGCATAGTTTTTATTTTGTAAACCACATTTAGTCTCGTTTTTATTCGTCAACGATATTGCATTATACATTTAATTATAGTCATCGTCACATGACCAGCATTTTCGTCTCGTCTCGTCTTCGTCACGTAATAAAGGTTCGTTGACGACGATATTTAATCATAATTTTCGTTGATGAAAGCAACACTAATCATGAAGAGATATTAGGATAGTGTTTACAGACCAGAATCACTGCTTAGAGGACACAATTTGGACTGTTGTCCCCTCAACATCATATAAATGGCCTGGTGACAAGATCTGTTCTCCAGTTGTGTCAGTATTTTATTTTAGAAAACAGCCTTTTATAAAGCCACCAGGGCCTTTTATAAATAATGGAGGTAAACAAACCGTCTCCATTCAGTCTTTATTTATGAGAAACAATGAGGCACACTGCACAGCTAAATAATTGACCTTACAGTACTCTCACTGACAGTGATATCTCCATAGGAAGAGGAAGTCTAAAGTTCATTTATAGTCTGAGAAATACACCAAAAACTCTGATCATAAAGCAATAAACAACCCAAACTAGATTAAAGTGATGACCCCAAAAACCTGTAACAGCAACGGCAAAATAATCTATAACTACAGAGAATCAACCTGTAATGTAATGAACAGCCAGAGAAATAACCCACAACTGTGATGAACAGCTGAGAAATAACCCACAACTGTGATGAACAGCCAGAGAAATAACCTGCAACTGTGATGAACAGCCAGAGAAATAACTTGTAATTTGAGGAACGGCTGAGAAATAACCAGCAACTGTGATGAACAGCCAGAGAAATAACCTGTAATGGTGATGAACAGACAGTGAAATAACCCGCAACTGTGATGAACAGCTGAGAAATATCCCGCAACTGTGATGAACAGCCAGAGAAATAACTTGTAATTTGAGGAACGGCTGAGAAATAACCAGCAACTGTGATGAACAGCCAGAGAAATAACCTGCAACTGTGATGAACAGCCAGAGTAATAACTTGTAATGTGATGAACAGCCAGATAAATAACCCGCAACTGTGATAAACAGCTGAGAAATAACCCGCAACTGTGATGAACAGCTGAGAAATAAACCCCAACTGTGATGAACAGCCAGAGAAATAACCTGCAACTGTGATGAACAGCCAGAGTAATAACTTGTAATGTGATGAACAGCCAGATAAATAACCCGCAACTGTGATAAACAGCTGAGAAATAACCCGCAACTGTGATGAACAGCCAGAGAAATAACCTGTAATGGTGATGAACACAGTGAAATAACCCGCAACTGTGATGAACAGCCTGAGAAATAACCCGCAACTGTGATGAACAGCCAGAGAAATAACCCACAACTGTGATGAACAGCTGAGAAATAACCCGCAACTGTGATGAACAGCTGAGAAATAACCCGCAACTGTGATGAACAGCTGAGAAATAACCCGCAACTGTGATGAACAGCTGAGAAACAACCCGCAACTGTGATGAACAGCCAGAGAAATAACCTTCATCTGTGATGAACAGCTGAGAAATAACCTGTAATGTGATGAACAGCTGAGAAACAACCCGCAACTGTGATGAACAGCTGAGAAATAACCTGCAACTGTGATGAACAGCCAGAGAAATAACCTGTAATGTGAGGAACGGCTGAGAAACAACCCGCAACTGTGATGAACAGCCAGAGAAATAACCTGTAATGTGAGGAACGGCTGAGAAACAACCCGCAACTGTGATGAACAGCCAGAGAAATAACCTGTAATGTGAGGAACGGCTGAGAAACAACCCGCAACTGTGATGAACAGCCAGTGAAATAACCTTCATCTGTGATGAACAGCTGAGAAATAACCTGTAATGTGATGAACTGACAGAGAAATAATTTGTAATTGTGAGGAACAGCCGGGGATGAACATCCAGTAAAATAACCTGCAATGTAATGAAGAGCTGAGAAATAGCTAATAACAGTAAGAAACATCCTTTGAATTAGGGCTGCACGATAAATTGCATGCAATATTTAATGCGCATCTTGTCAGAAAAGCCGGTTCTGTAATCAGCGGTAAATCTCCATCACGTGCGGGTTTTCACATGGAGCAGCATTTACTACACAGAAATTGCATGCAATATTTAATGCGCATCTTGTCAGAAAAGCCGGTTCTGTAATCAGCGGTAAATCTCCATCACGTGCGGGTTTTCACATGGAGCAGCATTTACTACACAGAGCTGTTGTTCACTGACAAGCTGCGCAAAACCACGATCATATATGGCTCTGTGTTTACTACACAAAGGCTCTTTGTAGTAAATGCTGCTCCACGTGAAAGCACGCACGTGACGGAGATTTACCGCTGATTACAGAACCGGCTTTACTGACAAGATGCGCATTAAATATCGCATGCTATTTATCGTACAGCCCTAGTACCGACCCAGTGTTTACAAAGCGAACATGCAAAGAAAGTCAAACGCCCTTTACAAAAAAGGTAAGACAATGATGTCGGACGATTTTGAAGTTGGAGGAGAAAATGAGATGGAGTTTTTCGCCCTACCCTTCCTTTTTGAACCGGAGCACACAGACGAAGAGCTAACGGCGCGTGACCTTTCCAACGTGATTACATCATGCGTGAAGATGAGCTAGTGCAAGACGAGCATTTGTGGTTATAAAGTATATAAATTTTTTAGAAAATGACAGATCGTTTCGCTAGATGACACCCTTATTCCTCGGCTGGGATCGTGTCGAGCCTTTTGAAGCTGCACTGAAACTGCATTTCGGACCTTCAGCCCGTTGGCCACCATTGAAGTCTATTATATGGAGAAAAATCCTGGAATATTTTCCTCAAAAACCTTCATTTCTTTGCGACTGAAGACAGAAAGACATGAACATCCTGGATGACATGGGGGTGAGAAGATTCAGGAAATTTTTATTCTGGAAGTGAACTAATCCTTTAAGAGCCATTCAACAAATGTTCAACAAAAGTAAAGGTGTTGTTCATGTAATCAGTAACTAAGAGCTTGGATGGCTCTCATTACACATCTATCGGAGCAAACACTGGAAATAAACAGGACACTTCAGAAGCATTATTACATAAGGACCTCAATGGTCATATTGCTTCCATGTTTGTGATCATGCAACGATTCAAAAGTCGGTACTGTTCCACCAAACAATGGCTAAAACGAATAGCAGTGCTCACATATCACATATTTGTTAAGAGAACCCTCGACAAACGAACACTGCACAACCAGTCAGTCAAGTCAAACAACAAAAGCATCCAGTCTCTGAAGCAGAAATCCGGTACACAAGCCATCCTCGTCCATACCAACTCTGCTAACTATAAAGAAACCATAACAGTGCAGGTGACGTCACGGAGTGTGCTGGGGAACGCAGCTGACTCAGACAGCACATTTGGGCGTATCGGTGAGCTCCAAGTAGGCGGCTCATTAGGGATTGAGACACAGCTATAAACAGGAAACACATTTTTTCACTCTATTAATCGTGATACTTATAAAAACGACCTGTATGTGGCATTCAGAAGCCTTTTCTTGTCATACTGCTCCTGGTTTTTAAATATATATATGTGCCTTATGAATCTATATGATGTTTAACTTCTGAATGTCGCGCAAATGCACTGCAGATCCAGATGTGTGTTACTGTAACACACTATGTAGACTGATGATCAGTCAATTCTGCTCTAAACGTGGCTTTCATCGCCACGCACTCACAGACTATACAGTCTCGGCCTTGTTTTCTTACGTCTTTTCGGTCCTGCAGGCACTCGAGCACGGCCAGGTTGTTGTTCCAGGAGTGTTTGGGGCAGATCCGGCTCACGTCCTCCCGACAGGCCGCCTCCTCCGCGAGCTTCCAGCCGCCGCTGCGCCGCACCGAGGAGGCCCCATCCGGCGCCGCTGCTTTCCCCTCTCCCGCTGCATTTTTACCTCTTTCGGCATTATCTGCGGCGTTTTCAGTGTCCAATTTGCCTCCATGAGCAGAACCAATCCAGCCGCAGATCAACATCAACAGCAGCAGTCGCTGCACACGTCTACACGCCGCCATCTTCGCTGAGAGAAGTTACGAATCCTAGTACGGGCAAGAAGACGCTCATGAATATTAATCAGCACGCGCTGACGTCGCTTTGCGGGTTGTCTTCTTAATATTCATGAGCTAAATCCCCTATCGTAGTAGGATTCGTCATTCTCGGATGAAGTCGTGCGGAATTTGGGGTTCACGAACGGCACAGCGTTCGAGTCCAAACATGGGCAACGTAGACCGAGACCTAAAGATATTTTTATTTATTTCTTTTTTACATTTATTAGATGAACGGAAGATAAGGAAGGCGATTATCCTGGAACAGGGAGTTCAGAAATGGGCGGGGCTTAGAGGTCCAGACTTAGAGGTCAGGTACGATGGGTAGAAGTATTTTAATGTTTTAACTGTATATTCTCAATCAAACAACTGTTTATCGGTGCCTTTATTCAGGTAAAATTATTATCCAGAACGCTGCTGCAGTAACACATAATATGGTTTTGTCACCTGGTTCCTGTAACTTTTCTTAGCGATGATCAGAATGGACCAATCACAATCGTTTGTGATTACAGTCCAGTAATTTATTTCATTTATCGAGATAATTTTTGTGTTCGGTTTCAATTTTATGTCAGACAATATTTCTGGATATAACATTTCAATTTTGTTCTATCTGTTATAAAGCGAACGTATGTTCCAAAAAAAAAAAGAATACATGGCATTGCGCCCTCTGTAGGAATACGAGTTTCAGTTTATATTCTGCAGAAAACCGCTTTTTACAAACAGTAAAACATTTTTTTACATGACACAACCTCAGAATTATGTATGTTGTATTGTTTTAATACACTGTATCTATTATTTGCGCCTGACCGTATATTTCAATTACAGCACATACCTTACAAAAATGCTGTTTTCTCAAAACAACTTTTTCCCCCTCATTCACTGAATCAGAAATCTCTGCCTAAGTATCACATACACTAGACTTTACTTATATATATATATATATATAAATTCTGAAGGTTTTTACAGAGGGATTTGTTCATAGGCTATAACATTTGCTTGATTTATAGCATGTTATTCTTAAAATATGGTGAAATGAACTTTTTTTTTTCTGGCTATATTGACAATATTTTCTGATTTATGTGCTAAAAAGATATATCCAACATCCCCTTGTAAAAACCTTTAAAGGGATAGTTCACCCAAAAATGAAAATTCTGTCATTAATTACTCACCCTCATGTCGTTCCAAACCTGTAAGACCTCCGTTCATCTTCGGAACACAAATTAAGATATTTTTGATGGAATCTGAGAGCTCTCTGACCCTCCCATAGACAGCAAGGGTACTACCACGATCAACGTCCAGAAACGTAGCAAGGAGATCGGTAAAATAATCCATGTGACATCAGGGGTTCAACCGTAATATTACGAAGCTACGAGAATACTTTTTGAGCGCAAAAAAAAAAAACGACTTTATTCAACAATTCGTTTACGACGTTTAAGCTTTGATTTGAACGTAAACAGCGTATCCGCGTGGCATGACAGAATTTTCATTTTTGGGTGAACTATCCCTTTAACTATAATATGCCAACTTTTTGATTCATTATAACTATTTATTTATTTTTGGCTTTATCCAATGTCCAGATTTCTGAAAATTAGTGCATATTTGCATTAATTCGATAATACCTTGTTTACATATTTAAACATAACATTTCAGAAAACATGCGATACAAATCAATTGTCTTAATATACTATGATTAATAAACTAGAGAAAGTATGGTGATATTTGTGATATCTGTTATTGGCATTATTCACTTGCGGTGGCCTGTTATTTAACTCTATTTTAATTACCAATAACATATTTAGCCATGGCCCAAATTTTGCACACAGCCCTGTTACTGCTGGACCACTGCAGTGGAACATTTCTTACATTTATGACACCCAAGAAATAACTTGATTTGGCTCAAATCCCTGTTAAGACAATATTCTTAATATCAACTTTATTAACTTAAAAGAGATCACTGCAAATTGTCTTTATATTTTTCCTATTGATTTCACTGTACCACTGCTATAAGGTGTTCAAAAACGGTGTCAATGTAGGCATTTATTGTTTTATTAAAGAAATTAAAAACAAAACAAAAAAACACTTACATATATACAATGAAAACAGTGAACAATGATCACTTTTAACTAAGACCTTAATAAAGCCCTGATTTTAAGGTCAGAAAACAAAATCTCTTTATAAAAGAACACAACATAAAATATAGAATTTAAATTTAAAACAAACAAAATACACGCATAGTGAACGGACAATACTGTCACACGGCGTCCCGGACCACCAGAGGCCACGTATTTGGTTTATGAGAAATGCTTATTCAGATTTTTGTTTGAATGTTACTCTCAGTCTCACTCCCATTTATAGACCTTCAGCATCTTCTCGGTCAGAGAGGCCAGAAAACTGCTCTGGCTGACCGCAAACGGACAGATGTCCAACACGGGGAGATCCGCAGGCATCTTCTGAAGCAGAGCACCAGTGCCAGCATCCCAGACCTGCAGACCGAGCGGAGAAATCATGGTGAATATGTGCGCATAACTAACAGGACCAACATCAAACTGCTTACACAAGCATTTACTTCCATGTGCAACGCGTAACCAAATGAAACAAGATACTGAATGAGAAAAAAAAGAGCGCAGGACTGGACCGCAAACGGACAGATGTCCAACACGGGGAGATCCGCAGGCATCTTCTGAAGCAGAGCACCAGTGCCAGCATCCCAGACCTGCAGACCGAGCGGAGAAATCATGGTGAATATGTGCGCATAACTAACAGGACCAACATCAAACTGCTTACACAAGCATTTACTTCCATGTGCAACGCGTAACCAAATTAAACAAGATACTGAATGAGAAAAAAAGAGCGCAGGACTGGATGAAGAGCGGTTTCTCACCATGGTGGAGTTTGTGGCCTCGTCTCCAGCACACACTAGCGTGGCTCCCTCTCCGGCCGGACGCTTGAACACGGCGTTCTTGGTGAGTAGCTTGCAGGAGGATCCAGCGGTGAAGGTCTGGACTGGAGAGCAGGAGCAGACGGGCGGCTGTCTGCTGTCTGTCTGAGGCGTCCAGCTGAGCTCCATTAAAACACAACGCAGTGACGGGTTTGCACGACCTGGACGGTACAAAACAGACATGAATGTCACTGCTATTAAAAAGGAACAAAGATGCAACAAATCAAAAGTCCAAGACATACAATCAAATACAGATGCTCTTAAATTAAAATAGGAATGTTCATTATATTGAAACTGAACAATATTAGTGATAAAAAAAAAAATAAAAAAAAGATAAAAAAAAAAAAAAGGTTCTGATTAAACAACTGAAAGTCAATGATATTAGTGACTTTATGAGTATACCAGCATTGAGCCACTATTATTGTTTTATTTGTACATATCTGTTTAAAGTCACAATGAAACTGAATTAGTGACATCGTTTCTTCTGAATTGTGACGAACATTCAAGTGGAATTAATTAAAAAGTGCAATAAGAAAAAAAAAAAAGTTCAAAAGTTTGAGTTTGATTAAACATTACGAGGTCAAGTCAATATATGAATGAATGACTGAAATGAAACATGCATGGATGAATAGTTCACAGTAAGATCCATAACATGCATTTACTAAATAGATTGGTGAATTTTCTCTTCATGTTGACTTTAAATCTGATTAGACTAATATTGGAAGCTAATAATATCAGTATATGAATTAGACAACATTAGCGTTTTTTTAATAAAATTAGATTTTTTTTAAATTATAGGGTCAATGACAAAATAAGTGTCAAAAAAAGATTTTCCTGCATTTAAATCGCTGTATGTATAAATTGCATTTTATGCGTTTTTAGATAAATCATATATATAAAAAAAAACAGTAGATCCACACTTAAAAGCTAATAATGTCAAAGCTTATATGTAGGGGTGCTCCGATCAGGATTTTTGAGGCCGATCACAGAAAGCAGTATCTGCCGATACCGATTTTTTTAAAGCCTTCTTTTTATCATTTATAACTATTTATAGTGATACTCCAATCAGGATTTTTAGACATTTATTCAGGGCCTGAATTTCACAAACACAACATTTATCCATTATATTGATTTCAAATCCAAACGTTGTTACTGAAAATGATTTTTCAGCATTGTAAGTCTCTTTTTACACAGTACAGTAGTACAATCTTTCATAAATTGTTGAATGCTTTTTACTTTTGCATTTACTTCTAGATGTATATATTAAGTTGCTCAAGCAAGTGTCAAAACATTTAAACTACTTTTCTTACGTTATCACAGACTTACCACTGACAGAAATAGTCAGCTTTACTGCCTTTCCTTTTGCATTGAAATCTTTATTACAAGCAATCCTGCGGTTCATAAAGAACTTTGTTTTCTTACCTCCACGAGTGCCATCTATTACTGCCTTGTTTATCTAAAAGTGCTCTTTCCCTTTAAACCTAGCCTAAAAGCCATATGTGTTGACTGTGAAACACAGTAGACTTTAAAAATATTTATGGTGTAATTACTACATTTTCGTGTCAATCCATGTTCATATTTACTGCAATAAATGCTTTGTTACTTTAATTCAGCGCTTGCAGTGCTGTATTGGTCAATATTAGGAAACGATCTCTGCACTGC